AGAAAATAATATTTACTTCACTTTTTATAATCGTTTCTTGTGATTATTGAAAAATGTTTACACCAAAATAGGATAATAGAATTGTATTACATAAGCAACTGTCACAAAAAAGTTTGTACTATGTTTAAATGGATTATGACTTGTGTTATCTAAATTTACAATAAATAAATACATACATATATATATATATATATATATATATGTACATATTTGTTTTTTGTGTGAACTATATGTTATACAACATTGTTATTAGACAATGCAATTTATTTGTATTGTTTTGAATAAAAATATATCCTATTTAAAAAAAAATCAACACATTTAAAATATACATATAAGATATAAACAAATAATTTAATTACTTAAAATACCCAATGACACATTCTTAATTTAAGATTTCAACCTTAAGAAAATTGATAATTTTATTTATTTTTAATTATGTTTAATTTTGTATATTTTTTTAGTCTAGATAACTAATTCTTATCTTGAGCATTAAAAACTTCACATTTAGCAACTATATTTTATACATCACTACTGTCCTACATAATAGTTATCAACATGTTACTTTTAAGATTTATTATCTATATAAAACTATAACAATTCTGTCAAATGGCCTTTTGTTGCTATCTTGTAGTTAAGATAAATATATAGAGCTTATAAAAAAGTTTTAGGATTGTTCTTTATCTTCTATTGCAACAATGATACTATTTAATTTTATCTAAATTTATTTTTGTATTCCTAATTATACTTTTAAGAATAAAAACTGTTATCTTATTATTTATATTTATATTTTATTTCTTGTTATAATATTATTTTTGCAAATAGTTACACATATAAATATATAATTTTTCACACATAAATATTTAGTCAATTATTTATTATTAAATATTTATTAAAAATTTACATGTTTTTTCTCCAAATTACTTAATTTAAAATATATAATATTATATATATATTTAAAATAAAGATAGATTTGTAAATTATAAATAAAAAATATAAATCAGTATCTTTACTTTATAATAATCACATAAAGGAAATTATCTTAGTATTATATTTCGCTCATAAAAGAATGTAAATATATCTAAGATTCAAACAAGTATATATATATATATATATATATACAACTTTTTTTTATTGTGATATTTGTTCTACATAATTGAAAGTCAGCTGAATAATAGTAGAATATATACAAGTTCTATATAATATTCTACGATCTTATAAATTTATTAATGTCATGTAAGGATTGCGCTTTTAAAATAATAAGTACCTCCATTGAAGTAAATAAAAATTTCTTCTACTTCTAATTTTTTAGTTTAATAACTTATAAGTTGTTAATAAAAGTATTATTAATAACTTATAAATCATATTATAGTTTTTAGAGCAACTCATAATTGAATCAATCTAATTATCTCGATCTGAAGATTGATTTTTTTATATTTTATCTCTTGCAATCTTATTTTAGGAAGGTTCTTTTGATTTAATTTTTAAGTTTGACATTTCTTTTTACATTTTTTTTACAACAATTGGAATTTTTTACCTATTTAAAAAATTAGAAAATATATTATTTATAACTATAAGAATTATTTATATTATTTTTACAGTTTAGACATAAAATGAGTTTTAAATAATTGCTTAAAAGTTCAAATAAGATAAGGAATAAATTAAAACTATGCCATTGAAAATGTTTTGACTAACTTTTAAAGTTCTAATTTTTAAAAAATGGTTAATATGTTTGTATATATATATATATATTAATTTATTTTTCAAAATTATCCAAAAAATTATGTATTTGTGAACTAGTATTACTGTAATATTATTACTAAAGATTATTTATCAATGATATTTTTGCAAAGTCACAAGTCAATAGATATATTCTTTTTTTTTTTTTGCTTTTGAATGGTATCCTTAATTCAAAACTATCTAATAAATAAAGATAAGACGATCTTTATCACTAAATAAGGTTTATTTGAAAGGTTTTATGCCTTTAGATTTACAAATTTCTTTTTTATTTTTTAAATATATACTTAGTTATATTTTTTTATTTATCATAATACACATATATAAATGAGTATTTGTATGTGTATATATATATATTTTTTATTTTATTTTATTTTATTTTTATCATAAAATCTTGACTACGTTTTAAAAAATATCAAAAACTTTGATTGAATTTAAACTAAAACAATAAAATAAATAAGTTGTATTAATTAATTTATTGAGTATATTATATACAAAGAAAAGATATCCCAATTAGAAAAATTAAAATTTGGTTGATATATTTACACTTGAAGTTGCTAAGAATGTAGAAAAATATTTTAGTTCTATCAAAGTATGGTTTCTATTATATCAATAGTTTTATAAGATATAATAGAAATTTTAATATATTTGAATTATATAAATTAAAATTTTTATTTTTATTTCAATATTTTTTTATAAGTTTTAAATTAAAACCTTTATATTACAAAATTATTCTAACAAATGCTAACAAAGATCTAACATATACAATTTAAATAGTCATTTTTATTATAGAAATAATTTTTAAAAAATATTAAATTTAGTTATAAACATCAATTATAAGATTTAACTTAAAAACTCTCTTGATAATATAGATTTAAATTAAAATAGCATAATTATCTAGAACCAGCTTTTTATTTCTTTTAAGTCTATTGAGATTAGAAGAACCTTGATTATATCATGCTAGCACATATATTAGATGTTTTTTTTTTTTTTTTTTAATTATTAGAATAAATTTTTGTCACGATTTTTATTTATAATTTTTTCTCTTATAGTTGGTTTTAAGTAAGTATTCTTTTTTATCTACCTTATAAATAACTATAATTATAATCAATTTTAAAATAATCATGATTTTTTTCAATGTATTTTTTAATAAATTTTAAAATTTAGATTCTTCAATTATGAAAGATGTAAGTAAGAAGTCTAGTCATATAAAAATATTATAATAAAATCTAAAAGACTAATTTAATATAATAAAAATAAATTTAAAAAATAAATTTAAAAATCAATATTTAAAAAATTTATCAAATAAAGATAAAATAATCTATATATAGATGATAATACTATTTTTAATGATTTAAAAATTAATGTGATATGTAATATTTAAAAAATAAAAAAATAAATTATACATATAGAAAAATATCAAATTGATTCCAATTGAAACATGATTAAATTCCTTTTAATCTACAATAATATAAATTCCATCACAATATAGGATAGAACAAATCAAGACAAAACTGAACAAAACTAAACAGAATGGAATAATGAGAGGCAAAACATAATAAAAGAAAATAGAATAAAATAGAACAAAAAAAAAATGTAAATCAAATTTAACTGAGAAAAAAGAACCAAAGTCATACATTATCAAATATCCAAATGGCCTTGGCCATTCTTATTTATACTTTCTCCAAACATCTTAGAACTTTTTAGAATGTTCCTAATGGTGGATTTTACCAACATAACTACCCCTTCTAAAAGATTCTAGAGGTGAGCCCCACCTAGATAATTACTTTAAGTCCTTCTAGAGTATGCTATGGTGGATCCTACATGGACCATCAATCTAGCTTTAATTCTAGAAACTCCTAGAAACTTTCCAAAAATTGCTCCAACTACCTATCTCTATGCATTGTTATACCAATTGTAGTTGAATTGATCCATCCATCATTATACCTTCCATCTCCCATTCATATTCCTAGTCCATGTCCATAATTTTCATTTCTAGCCTGCATCTTCTATTCCCCCCTTATTTATTGTTTCTATTCCTAGTCCCTATCTTTTTCCATCAATTGTTCCTAACCTAGCCCCCTTCCCCTTCACTCCAAACAATAATCTTGTTTAACTTATTCTTTTATGGAAGTACATGTTTTTGCTCTCTTTCTCTTTCTCTTTTTCTCTCTCATTTGGAGTCAGTGAGTGACTTGAGCTCTTCTTCCTCTTCCTTATGACATTAATTGATGTGTTTGAAGTCTTATTTTGTAAATTGGTGAAGTTGATTAGATTGTTTTGTAGATGAGAGAGTATGAGGGGTTGCTTGTGGATTTATCTCATTATGTCCCTTAACCGTGATTGATGTTGTGGATCTACTTGAATGCCTAAGTTGAGCAACTTGAGTGATTGTAGTAGGATTTTTCAAGGCATTTTGGTAAAATAAAGCTCATAAATTTGTGGTTAATATGATGAATTGTCTATGTATGTGTTAGGTTAGCTTTAGATTATGTCAATGGCATCTTCAAAATTGGCATGAAGAGAAGAAAAATAAGCTCGATCTACTTACTCTAAGAAACTTATTCATGTACTATCATCATTGTTCGGCTAATATAGTCATTTGATATCATACCTCAAGAATTTTTAACTCATTCAAATGAATTTCAACGACCTTTCTCAATATCTTCCAATTTGATAGTCTTGCACATACTTATCTTCACATGAAATTTAATCTCATGAATAACTTAAATCATCAGAATTAGCCACCTGGACCTAAAGACCAAAGCCAAGCGGTGCGAGCTTCACCTTTCAATGGAGGACGGTCGTAGGTTCGTTATGGTTGAGAGGATCGTCTTCAACGACTCTCCTTGATCATTCTGGTGACCGAGCTCTGGAGAGTGGGTGAACCCATGACCACACCCGTCCCTGACCTGGATAGATCTGGCCCAGCCCGACCCAGTCCGACAATACTCGATCCGACCCCACCCCGGCCAGCCACGGGGTAACACTTGCTGATGAAATATTGACCCGGTCCCACCACGACTTTCCCGACGTTCCCCACCGACCCGCTTGTTTCCGCTTTGCTTTCCGACCCCTCCCGCCACGCACCCTGTTCTCCTGGCACTCTGAAGAAAATCCGAAGCTGTTCCCAAGCGTAAACGGGTAAGAGACGGAGGGGGACAGAAGCTTAGGCCCGGGAAAGAAAAGGAAGAAGGCAAAAAGGAAAGGGGAAATGTGCGGGGGGGGGGGGGGGGGGGACCGAAAAAAAAGGGGAAAAAAGGCCCTCTTCTGCTCCCCCTTCCCTGCTTTGTTGCGTCCCTGCAATCGACGCTTGCATCTCTGTGTCACGCCCGCTGCGAAGGGGTTCGCGTTCAGTGTTTCAAAGGAGTGTTGGTGCGCGTGCGTAGAGCGTTCTCGTGTTGGCCTCAGTGTCGGAAGGCGGGAGAGTTTGGCGTTGGCGGTGCGTGGGTTGGATGTCGCGGGGTGGAGTTTTCCCCGAATAATGAGGTCTCCAAGAATTGCAGTGATGTAGTGGCAGGATTGTCCTAGTGTGTTATTTTTAAGTGTATTTTTTGACTTCAGGTAGGGTTGGGGTGGATGGAGAGAGGATGGGTGCGGCGATCGTGATGGGAGTGAGAGGGTGAGGAGGCGATAGAGGGGTAGTTAAATAGAGTGAGATAGTCGATTCGAGTGAAATTGAGTCTTTGAACTGGGAGAGATCGTTGCGCGGTATCACGCTGCTCTGAGAGTGCGATTCAGCTGTTTCGAAATCCTTGATGAGCTGCGCCAGCGAAGTGCTTCGGTGAGTTGGTGCGCGCTGGAGAATTTGCTTGATTTTGCGTGTGTGCGCTTTGGTTGAATTTAGGCGAAGTTGCGACGGTGCGCTGTTGTTGATGGTGTGGGAATGAACTTTGCGTTTCCATTGTCTTTGAACGTCGTACGGTGGCGTTCTCTATATCGTTTCTTACTTTACATTGCCATGAAAATGTGCAATCTGCGTTATAGTACTTAGGGAGCGTTCAATCGTGGTACGTGTTTCGGAGATTAATTGCTTCTCTACCATCGAATCTGATGATTGAAGGCCTGCGTAAAGAGAATCCAACGCTATTTTTTTTCTCGCATGTGTCTCCTGTACCTGCAGCGCACTGCTGTTCACGCTCGTGTATTCGGCGTGTCGGGAATTGTCTGTTGACAGTGGCTCGTGAAACAGTTTTGGTACATTTATGAGGCTTACTAGCTGAGCATACTGACATTGATCGCTACTGCGGCGAATTGCAAAATTGTCATCAGCGGACCCTGTTACGATCATGTGCAATTGGAGTCGGGAATATGACAAATTTGCGCATCATACTTGACAATATACAACCCCCTGCTGTGAACACCAACAGTCTTATAATTTTTTGAAAATGTTGATATCCGGCTGCGAATTTATGCAAGATAAATTAGCAGGTTTGCTTCGTCGCTCTCAAATTTGAAAATCTAAAACGCACATGGTTACCGTTTCTTTCACTTGCGGAGATTGGTATGCAGAAATAATTGTGTTGTTCTGTGGACTTTGAGCAATTAATCGAACGACTCCTAACAATTTGTTTTCTCTCACTTGTTCTAATTCGTCATACTGGGATGTTCAAGCTTTGTTTGTTGGACTTTTTGAAGCAAAAGGAAGTGTACTATATTCGCGAGGACATTCGGGGTATGAGAGGGACACTTGCTTATGGCGGCAGAAGAAGGGGTTACAGATGTTAGTAAACTTCCCCGAGTAAGCAAGAACTATTTTGGAGTGCGGATAAAGAATCTGGTTCGTTCTCTCCTGAGAGACTGGACATAGTTGACAAGGATACTATGGATGTAAAACTACGTGCACTTGAAAGCAAAGCTGAGGGCAAGAAGTTCTGTATACCTCCACCTAGTGTACCAATTCCTGACAATTTGTCTTTTCGCGTATCAGACGCCATTCCAACAGGTACGCACGACGTTTAACTTCTTCATATTCAATCCATAGTAGGTGTGTATACGTTTGGTTTTGCTTTCATTTGATTCTCTGGAATTTTGTAGATGGGGAATTATACGATTGAAGCTCGAGTTTAGATTTGAACCACAGATGATTCTGTCTATTCTGTGTTCGCCGCGAGATATAACTTGCCAGAATATCATTGTACAATTTTTTCCTCATTCCTTTCTGGGATAGTCTAACCGTTCAGGTTCGTACCTTCTGTGGGAATCTAATTTCCTATTTTGAAATCTATAGGTGGTGTTGAAGCAAGTGATTCTTCAACCGGAAAACATGAGGTTTGTATGTTGACGTCAAGATTGGTGGAACGGAAGTTAGCGAAATATAGTTTCACTACGGAGGATGCCAGTCGGAGTTCCACACCTTTTGGAAATCGACATATTGGAAATAGTGTACTTGCAAGTGGCCTTGGTGTGCTAGTGGAGGCTGCACAGGTATGCCTACTTTACGTCTTGCTCATCGTTATTAATCTAATCCCTGCTTGGTGATTTTTGGTCTTTGCAATGTCTTTTCTCTACATGGCTTTTCCGTCCAGGTACTCTTTTTCTGACGTGTCTATGTCGAAGGTTGGCCAATTTATTTTCTACCCTAACTCAAAGTCAATATTATTTTCTGTCTATGCATATCACTCTGAGGAAGTTGATAATTTCACCGCCTCTGGTATACTTTTAATAGTGGAATTTTTTGCAGGTTGCATCAGGATCCTCTTTTGCACCCGACAAGAAGCATCCCGAAGGGGATGGTCATGTCGAGAGTCATCATGATGCAATTCGGATGTCTGCAAAGAGGAAGGTGTATGATGAACCAGTTGAAGTATCCGTCCCTAAGAGAAAGGTCGTTAGACGTGGCCATCATAGGTCCCTAAGCTCTGGCATGGAGTTAGAGTGTGGTGCGGCAGCAGAAAACGAATTCTCACGGGATCACGTGTCTGTTCCTGTTATGCAAATATCGATGCCGAAGTGGAATCCTCAAATGTTATCTAGCAAAGAGGAGGGTAACAAGGATTTAGGTTCTGCTAGCAGCTCTCCTTGCCCTGCAAAATCTATATTGTCGCATGGAATGAAGAAAAACGTTGGTTCCAGATGGGGTCAAGAAGATGAGACAAAACCACGACGACCATCAGGTGTTTTGATAAGACCAGGGGGTGCAATGGTTACCAAAATGGCTGTATCTGTAGTTGGAGAATCATTTGATTTTGATAGTGAGGAAACTGATGACGATGCACCGCCTCCTAAAGCTAGAGAAGAACCCAGCGCCCTTGTACGGTCTAAACGAGGACGTGCACAGGTCCTCCCTTCAAGGTTTAAAGACTCAGTTGTTGAACCTTTGAAGAGAGGTGCCAAAGCTGCTAAAGGCCAGTCTCATGATGTAAAAGTCCGGGATGGCACACCCAAGTGTTTACCCTCAAATTCGAAGAAGCAAGTAAAAAACGGCGTCCAAGTAAGCGATGGCTCTACTCAGGTTCTAAAGAAGATCAGAAAGGATCAAGAACGCAATTTGTGTGCCGAGGTGTCGTTAGACAATCATTTATTCGATGATTTTGGCAACATAAATTCTAGTCCGTCAAGGTCCTTCCAGGAACTTGGCGACTTAGATGGCTTGGACTCTGAAATGAAAGGAAGCAGAGGTACCAATTCATCTGATGTGTATAATCTAGAGGAGTTCGATTTGGGAGAAATTGTTTGGGCGAAGTCGGGAAAAAGAAATGATCCGGTTTGGCCTGCCAGGGTTATCGATCCATGTAGAGAAGCTCCGCCAATGGTTCGTGAGCTGTCTTTGCCTAATCGGCTTTGTGTTATGTTCTACGGGCCATCATCATCATCTAAAGGAAAACATTTCAGGGTATGTGCAGTCAATTCTTACGCTGTTGATTGTATGCAAGGGTGAATCTCAAAGTAATTGTTTTTAGTTTCTGTGGACAGATGCAATACCATTTTTTGTGTTGATATTCACCTTGGTCTGATCGCTGAAATGACCATCTGAATTTGGTCAATGTTTTCCGGCCTATCAGATGTTTCCCTATTTGCCATTTGGGACAACTGGACTCTGATGCAAGTTTTTGTATCCATACAACAGGATTATGCTTGGGTGAAGCGAGGAATGATATTTCCTTTCAATCCTTACTTAGAAAAGTGAGTTCCTATCCTTATTATCACTGGTTCATTGGTGTCTTAGATTTTGTTGTCCTATTTAATGTCAAATCATTGATCTTTCTTGACAGTGCGAACCAAGACTTGATTGCACTTATGACTCTGCACCAAGTGTAGACAGTCATGGGGCTGCATTTCGGCAGCCATCTTGGACATGCCCCTTTGTTTATTTTACCGGTTTTTGTGCCTGATGAGATTCCTGTTTTTCAGGTTTCAGTCACAAACGCTACTGAACAAAAGTCGCCCAGTTGATTTCAGACAAGCCATCAGTGAAGCTAAGCTTGCCGACCTTGGTTATGAGGAAGGCCAAGATGCTTTACCGGGAAAAATACATCCCTCAATGGCTTTGACTGTGACAAGATCTTCTGTGTTGGAATCCGAGGAGGCAGAAGACGACGTTTCTTTTGGAGTTGAAAAATACATTCAAAGTGCACCTGTGAAGGTGCATCAATAACTTGTTCTTATCAACATCAGCTACATGCGATAAAATCTGTGTCAGACTTGGATTGAAGTTTGCTGTATATGCCTAAATATGGTTTGTACTCCATTTAACAGTGCTTCAACTTGTTTGTATAACGGTGTAGGCAACAACTGAGAGTGGAAAAGAAAAACGAGTTTGTCTTGGTTGCGGAATTCAACTGCCTGTAAGCAGAAAGGAATCTGCTAAGGACAACCCTCTCTGCAAGCACTGTGTGAAGGTAAGGAGAGCGCACTACATGTACATTCTCCCCTTGATTTATGCGCCTACTGCCATATGTTTGCGTAGCTCTGCTATTGATAACTTTCTGAACTTTCGGCAAGCATTCATTCTAATTTTGTTTTGGCTACTGTCTCTGCAGCTGTATAAGTCAAAGCAGTATTGTGGCGCCTGCAAGAAAGTTTGGCTTCCGAATGACAAAAGCAGTTTTGTAAGTAGTCAAGCAGGTTTCCTCCGGCATTTGTTCATTACCTAATAAGCTCAGGCTGGGTTTTTATTGTTTTACTATATTGCGAAAGGTTTAACAGAACTAACTAATTCCCACAATCCATGTGCAGGCACAATGCGATACATGTCAGATTTGGGTGCATGCAGATTGTGATAAGCTTACTGTCAAAAAGCTAAAGGTTAATAATGTTTATGCGTGCTCATTGAATAGGAAGAAACATTGACAATATGTTATAGATGATTTTGCATTCTTCATGGTACTGCAAAAACAATTAAATGACCCGTTATCATTTTATAGGTCAGTCTTGCATACCATTTTCCAACAAATAGGTATTCCATTCCATAAACTTCATTAAAGCCAGTATAAGCCTTTTCATTGTCCGATGGAAGAGAGGTTGAAGAAACTCGAACCTTTTTTCTGTGCAGGAGTTGGCAGAAGGAGGTTCGTATTATTGTCCAGAGTGCAGAAAGTCACAAGGCTCGGGAACTCCACGAAAGCGCAAATTAGCCGACAAGTATGTCCTCTCTTTTTTCATTATTTTAACTTCGTTTTAGTTGTTGAACCTAGAATCAGAGTTGGAAATTTTATACTAGCCTCAAAGCCCACATACGCGAAGTGCCAGAACAATGATAATTGGTCTAGGTTCAATTAAGTTTTTCGAGGCGGTTCTTGGGAGCGAGTCAGTTCTCTATCTCACATAAAGCCTTGTAGGAGTCTTCTGGCTTGACTCTTTTAGTGTTGTTTGTTTTTGATCTTGAACATGTGGTTTTTCTATTTCAGACCTTTTGATATGGTTGATATTGAGTTCTTTTAGTATGTCTTGTGAATGTGCTTAATGATATATCCATCCTTATATGAAGGACCAGTCTTTCATCAAAGCTGGCATAGTTTTTGTACACATTTAATTTTGTTGGAATCAGGATTGAGGCAGGCTCAAGTTCGTGTACTGTTCCTGAGAAGTTGGCTGTTACCTGCACACATGTAGAGGGCGACTATCTGCCAAATAAGCATGAGTACGTATCCCGTGCACCAGTCATAGATTTGAAAGCTAACGACGGGTTGTGTGTTATGGCCGATTGTAGCTTACAAGTTCTTCTAAGCTGGAAGTTGACTTGACGGTTTTTATGTCGATGCGAATGTTGAGGTCTTTCTTGCTTCGATGCTACTGCAGGAGTTTGGAATGTCTTAATAATCTTTTCTAGACATCTTCTTTCTTTTTCTATATGTTGTTTTTCGCAGTTGTGACTTAGTCCGTACACATTCCACCTCTACTCAGCTGTTCTCTATCTTGTGGTTTTTCAGGGTTATCTGTAAATGTAATAGTTGCCAGGGTGCCAAGGATCCGATGAGGCCATCAGAGTGGGAAAGGCACACAGGATGCCGGAAAAAGAAGTGGAAAGAAAGCATTCGCGTAAAAAACCAGGAACAACCATTGTTTGCATGGGTGAGTTCATGTCTATTATATGTCCATCGATTTCTTATATACTTAGTTCAATCATGTTTGTCCAGCTTATTAAAGAGGAACGAAAATGCCAGTCGATACGGTATGACTCTAAGTGCGTAACATGCTTATATTATGTTCAAACGTGTGCTGTGTTCTCTTATTTATATGTTTTTCAGTTTCATTTCAATTGGAAATTCTGGCCTTTTCTTTATCCCAGATGGAACATTGGTTACCAATCTGCAGGTTCACATTCTTTTGAATGTCAATGTTGTCGATTTTGTGACCGTGCTTCCCGGTTGAGATGTCACGCAGTTGAAAAACATGTTAAGTAATGGCGCCATTGGACTGGCATTTGAAGGACCTGATTTGTTTCCAACCAGAACTAAGGAACAGACTTTGCTTGCCACTCTTGATCGTAAGATTACTTCATGTCACTTTCCCTAGTTCCAAATGTTTTATCGTACTCATCTTTTGGTTATAATTACTACAAGCCGTCTTATTATGTTGGGTGGCGTTGGTGAGAATAGTCTCCATACCCTACCGTTTCTACCTCGTATATCATATCATATTTCATAACATAATTTGACTACATGTAAGCAATCGTCTATTCATACTTTATCAACCTTCGCTCTACAGGGTTGCCTCAACTTTGTGCTTTTCCTGTTTCTTGTCTATTGTTGAATTAGTGCTATTCCATCTAGATTCTAGGTCATTTTGTATTCTAACGAAGTATCATCAGGTTTATAAGCAATTTTTATACTGATTGGATTTTGACATGGATAAAAACTATGTAACAGAACCATATATGCCAGTGGACACAACCTGGACATCAGAAAGGTGTGCTGTATGTCGTATGGTTGAAGATTGGCATCATAATAAGATGGTCATCTGTAATCGGTAATGCATCCTGACATCCTTCTTATCACTCGAAATTGGTATTTGTTTGTTGATCCGCCTCATTCTCCTAAGTTTTTCTTTTGAATACTCAAGCTATCTTTCTGCATTAATTTGAAAGGTTTAGTAGGATTGATACATGCAAACTTTTCTTTTTGTTTTTATTGGATTTTTATCGCATTTTCTCCTTAGTTAAACGTACTCGATTAATCGTATAGGTGCCTGATAGCCGTACACGAGGAGTGCTATGGTGTAAGGGCATCCGAGAGCGTAGGATCATGGGTATGCAGAGCTTGTGAAACACCAGAAGTTGAGCGGGAGTGCTGCCTGTGTCCCGTGAGAGGTCAGTACCCCATCTTTCCGGTTATAGTCACCTATTAGTATTTGGTTGGGTTTGTATCAAACTTGGAACAACTTCCCAATTTATGTGGGAATTGTGTGTATTTTTACGAATTGGATATAATTCTAGTTGCGCTGGAGTTCATCTGGATAATATGCTAGTTATCATGTTGGATTTACTTAGAGGTTAAATAATTTAGTACTCAGTTACAAGAAAGTTTATGTCTCAAGTCAGGCAATGTTATCAATTAATAAAGAGCTTCTTCTTGCCAGGTGGGGCATTGAAACCGTCGAATACTGCAAATTTGTGGGTACATGTGACCTGTGCATGGTTTGTACCTGAAGTCAAGTTCAAAAACATTGTCAAAATGGAACCCGCTGAAGGCCTCACCAATGTTCAATTAAGCACTTTTCAGCAGGTAATCTGATCATATATTTACCAACAATTTATGATCTTCTGAACTTGTATGTATTGAATGATGGCTATGTATGACTGAATAGGGTAAACACTTTCATGACGCTTTGTGGAATAATGTTGTTTCTTTAAAGTAAGAGTCCTCTGATACAAGCCGGTACCTTGTATTCGGTTTACTCAGCTCTATTGTAAACTTTTGCAGAAATGTGGAATATGTAAACAAGTGCATGGTGTCTGTGTATCTTGTGCGTACAAAAATTGCCGAAGGTCATTTCATATTATGTGTGCATTTAGAGCTTGCTATCACATGGAGGTATGTCCTCATGGTTATCATTCACAGTGTAGGGTTATTGTTTTAGGACATGGTTTTCTTGATTACTGTGTTTCTTGTTTTTGGGAAGAGTACTTGCATCAGTATCAGGGTTTGTGTTTGCAACTATTCCCACTTTTGCCTTTGCCTCAGACTTTCACTCTTTTACATCTGTTCGTTAATTGATCGGGCTCAACTTCTTTCATTGAGTTGAATATTCTTTTTACTGTATGATGTCAATTACGTGAAGGCTTCAATCTAATCTGATCCTTTTTCTCTTTGTCAGTGTTGAGTTTTAGATCAATTGCAAGAAGCACCATTTTTTTTTAGTTCTAATTTGGATATTTTGCAGCCATGCATATTCATTCAGAGATTCGTCAGGATGGTTCCAGGTTCATGTATAACTTGAAAATTTGACCTTGGTTTATCTTTTTGGAAAACTTTTACTTGAAGGTGGTATGCTTGTGTATGTGTAGATGAAGGCGGTGACTAAGAATGGAATTGAAATGACACAGATGCTTTCGTTCTGCAGTATACACAAGTGAGTTAACTGCTTAGGGTATTATGAGCAATTTGGTTCACCCTCCTGGGTGTACAAACTCACTGGTAGTTCACATACTTTCTATGCTTTTCCGGTTTTTGGTTAGCAGTTTTTCAGAGGATTGTGAACCTTTTATTCGGCATGAACCGAATATTTGGGAAGAGGGCTCTCGAGCAAGTAATCGAAGCAATCAGTTTCTGTTGATAAAATATTGAAAGTCAGTATTTTGTGGATGTTACATGCGCATGTTCTCAAAATTCAAAATTGAATTCTTTTATAAAAATGTGATTCTGCATTTAGATTTTGGTGGTGTTCCATTGTGCAGGACACCTAATTCAGACATGCACCTAATGTTAAAATCACCATCGGGTAAGATCCCCATTAAAAGAGACGCTGCTCAGCCAAGTGAGACGGAGAATGTTGTAAATTTATATGGAGGTTGTTCTCTTGTTACCGGAAACAAATCCTCGGGGCACATTGGAAGTGACGCATACTCAGTGGCAGCAAGATGTCTGCCTCATTCCACCTATGACAAGAAGGCCAAATATAAGGTGCCTTTTCACGGATCTGGACAATCCCTCTTCGACCTTGTTTCTCTTTTTGAAAGTGTATTGAATTTTTTAACCGTCAAGGTAATGATCTTAAACTTAATTAAATTATTCCTTGTATTACATCTTTTAAGTGAACTAATAGCTATGGTTTGCAACAGAAGGGAAGGATAGCTATCGCATATCGCATCTCGGGGGTCAGCTGGAATACTATTGAAACCATCAATAGTTTGAGGGTGAAACCCTTTGCCTATAGTTTAATCTGGCTTATGTTTACAATATGCTTCATGAGAGTTTTTATTTTTAGTTTTCTTTTGTCAAATTTGTATCACCTATTATCACCGTTGTACGTTGTACTTCTCCTTCATTCCCCCTTTCAAATAATTCTTGTCGGAAATGTCTTGGGTTTCATGGAATGTGGAATCTAGAAGGTTCCACCTAGAAAGCGTTGACGTTACTTAAAACTAGTGTATTACCTGCATCGTAACAGGAATTTGCTGTTCTGGACCAGAGAAAGGTCTTCACAAATGAAGAGCGGCTCCAATTCCTCCAGGTATCATTTGGTCCATCAGAGACACATTGGTTGCAATCGTAGATGATGTTCATCCATGGATGAGTCACTACTCTGTAGGATTACCAAGGTCGTAAACCTTAATGTAACATAGTTTTAGTACATATATGAAAATGTCCTTGATTGTTATTTTTGGGTACTGGATTTAGCCGTCTAGAATCGCCGTGGCAGACGAACATGTGTTACAGCAGTCAATTGTAATGTAGATATATATTACCCACTGTATTTTGGAAATGTTTTTATTTACATGCTATCAGTTGTATAAATTATTCAATTTTCCATATCCAACTAAGAAAACATGTCCCTCTTTAGTGCTGTAGTAATTTATGTCTTGTTTCAAAGCTTGACCAGTTTCCCTTGGTACTGATCGCTCTTATCGCATGTAGAGGTAAAAGATCCCTTCTGTTACTGAACTGTCGTAATGTTCTCTCCCTACAGAGAACAGAGAAGAAAACGGTCTGTTTTGGCAAGTCTGCAATTCATGGATGGGGTCTCTTTTCTCGACGCGCAATTCAAGAGGGGGAAATGGTAACTTTATTCAAATGCATTACATGATTCTAGTCCAGATTTTGTAGGAGATTAACATTTTACTTAATTAAAAAGTTGTGAGTGTAATTGGTTTTATTTTCTTGTCTGAAACGCAGCATGCAGGATCTGAATCCACTTTTAGTTAGAAGGGTAGAGAGTGCTAAAACTGCCCTTAAACTATCAGCGTCTAGGAATGGTATACATTTCAGGTCCATTAGGGTGTGTGTTTCTACCCGAGTGATTGACTGGATTCCAAGTTTAGTGACTGTCTTAGCACCTTTTATTTTTTCTAAGAGTTTGTACGTGAAAATATAGTTTTTTCTTCTCTTCAGACTCGTTTTTACATCCTAAAAAGAAAATTATAGTCCATGTGTTTTTGATGTTCCTGGTATTCAGGTTGTAGAGTACAGAGGAGAGCGTGTGCGGGGCAGCGTTGCAGACCTTCGTGAGGATCGGTATAAAAAGGAGGGAAAAGATTGCTATGTACGTGTTGTTACTTATTTGCTAATTCTTTGCACAAGCACGAAGTTACTTTTAGATTTTTTACTTTGTTGCCTTGTTGTACCTAACTTTCCCATATACCAGATAGAGTAGCCTTTGCCTTTGCCTTCGTCAGTTTTTTTTCATCTTGACCTGAACAATATGGCTTTAACTTAATTGAATTAAATGATCAATAATTTCCCTCTCATCAAACTATATTGATTATTGAATATTATACATGTGGTGAGTTAATCATGCTATCTTTCCACTTGCATGTTTTGAGCTCGCATGTGTTTCTATTGTTTGTGGTATCCAAAAGCTCATTATATTTCTTATTTATGTCAGTTGTTCAAAATCAACGAGGAGATTGTTATTGATGCCACCGACAAAGGCAACATTGCACGTCTCATTAATCACTCTGTAAGTGCCATAGAATCATACTTTTTAGACTCGATACTCTTTTAAGACTTCAGCCAGTTTAGATAAAACTGCTGTGGTGTTAAAATCATTTTACTCCGAAAAACTCTATCTATTCTTCTCATCTGATTAACTTCGGTATCTGATATTTCCCCTGCTATTGGAAGTATGAGCTTAATTGAGATGTAGTCTCGCTAATTTTGCCTCAACATAGTGTTTTGTGTGCGTAAATTAGTTGATGCTATGGACAACCCTCGTTTCTTCATTCAGGCTGTCTCGACGCTGTTCTTCAGCTTGATGTAATTGTATCATCAGTGAGTTCTTCATCCTTTTCTTACCTAATTTGGATATTTTACAGTGCGATCCAAGCTGTTACGCAAAGATTCTTGATTTTCAGAGGAATGATGGAGAAGGAGACAGCCGGATTGTTCTCATTGCACGAAAATCTATTGCAGCTGGGGAGGAACTGACGTAAGTGGATCCTGTTTTTGAAGTCCCGTTAACTCTAAAGCAGCTTGTGTCATGTGCAGAGGCGATTTCATTGTGCGTCTGTCCATGTCCACTTCTCGTGTTATGCATACCTGCTTCTGAGTATAGTATTCCTAATTTGATGTCAATGACGTATGCGCAAATATAAACGACTCTATCTGTCAACCCACGAGGGTTTCGGTAATATTGTTGTACATCTCTAGGTTATGGTTTTCACACAAATGTAACTCTTTTGCGTGTACATCCGTGGGTTGCAGATACAATTATCGATTTGATGAGGAGGATACACAAAAAGTGCCATGCCTTTGTGGATCATCAAATTGTCGACAATACATGAATTAGAAGATGACGAACTTTTCTTCATTGCCCACGGAGGATCTTGTTATCACTGTATATAAAGAATAGGCATTTAGGATTCTTCTGAGTAGAAACAAGCAACTATTTTATTGCTTACCTTGCAGAAAATTGCAATGTAAGTGTACATCGTCTCTTCAGTACGACTCTGTCAGCTCCGAAGTTTATCTAAGACAATTTCAAGCCTTAGTGAAATTTGAGCTGCCTCTTGGAAAAGACTACTGGTCAATGACCTGGTCTCTCCCTTGTATACTTTTCAACCCTTGTACATTTCCATCACATGAGTTGCTCCAGTGTGGCCACTAAATATTCCTCCTATATGAAGCATGTACTTGTGAAAGGCAGAGCTTCATTTGTGACTCGATTGTGTCATATATTTTATTGATTTCTGTAAGACTTGAAATATTCATGGATTATGATCTGTTCTCTATGTGGAACCACGATAGTAGTACTACAAGGCGGGAGCTTTGAGGTATGCTTAGCTTCCAGTTTTATTTAGCATTGATAACTACTGGTTTGTTCGAGTAGAAAGAAGGCGGAGCTAGACGGTAGCGATCATCAGGTTGATGCTAGGCATTCTTACACCTCTGAAATTGTTGATCTCTGCCTTCCTCCCCTATAGTTGTAGAAACTTGATGTTCGTGATTTTCATCTTACTCAGTTCTTTACAGAAGCCGATGCTGTGACTGATACCATGACGAGACGGACTACACTCGTCACCAATCTAATGCCATGGCACAATGTTGTTCTACAACGGCACAACTTTTTGAACGTACTTCAGTAACAAAGAGATCGAGTGGTTCAAAGATCCCTTTTATGGACTCGTGCCTGGGTTTTGATTCATTCGCCTCTTCAGAAAGTACAATGCTTCGATTCTGCGTTTCCTCATATGCTGTGAAGGGGACCATAGACTCAATTGTCTTCAAAACAGAGAGCGTCAGACAATTTAAGGAAGCATGGGGAGAAGGATCCAAAAGAAACATCTGGGCCAATCTGGAGTCAGGGATTAGGACCATGGTGACTCCGCCGAGGTGTGGGAGTTATACTGAAAGAACGGAACAGGTCGGCATAGTTTGCGGGCGGATTTGGTTGCTTTGACTGACTATTCCACATGAAGACATTGGGAGACACTGATTCTTCCACCTTCGTTACTGCAAACACGAGCTTCCGCTCACTTGGCCCATTGCTATTGTCCACAAACCAAGGACAGGGATAAAGAGCTAGCAGGAGGATTAATTTCAACTTGGAGTGAAAATGTTAAAGATTGTGGAAAATTATGTCTTGGCAAGCTAACCTCTTTATTTAGACTTTTGACTTTTTTGATGTTTCCTAGTGCGACTTAGTTTGTGAAGTTTGATTGTAAGTATTTCTTATGTATGTTCTATTTGTCGATATTCTCATCCTACTGACAGAATACATCCACTTCTATCTGTTCATTCTTGAAACCTCAGTGATTGGTTGTTTAGATTACAATGAACTACACTTAGACCCCATAGTACATATAAGTTACCCGTCTCCATTTGCATATCTTCTCCTCTTTAATTTATGATCATTTCAAACCATAAAGCAACTCTCAGATTGTAACATGGTATCAAAGTAGTCAAAGACCCTCATCCCTCTTTACTCTGTTTTTGTACCTACTTTACTCTAAACATATTTTCTATTATTTCTTCTCAATTATCTATTATGGAATCTATTATGGCACAAAGAGACATTTTATGAGAATTCTAAGCTCCAAGTGTTACCAATTACGCTATTTGTTCATACAAACTTCAAGCATTACTTCAAGATGAGAAACTCTATAACATAGTCAGTCCATGTATTGCCTCTACTCTTGATTCCTCCTTCTCTAGCTCTCTTCAATTGAGATAGACAATAATCAACTCCTCCACTCAATTGCCCTCATCCTCCATTGCATCTCTACTAAATTACTCATTCAAGGACCAACAACATAAGGCTACATATATTATTGTATCAACAATATATGATCCTCTTTTCTCCTACATTATGAATGTTTTAGATTTTAGAAAAATTTGGACTCAATTCAGAAACTTGTATCAATCTAGTTTCATAAATCTTACACTTTGTCTTAAATTTTAACTTTGTAGTATTAAAATAATGGACAAAGATGACATTGATTAACAATTTATGGTCATCAATAACCTAATTAAACAACTTGCAAACATTGGAGTACTAATACCAAACAAAGAACTAATAGATAGAGTCTTAACCAACTTATCTTCAAGCTAGGATATCTTCAGACATATGATTTCATAAAAGAAGCATACTTCTACTTATAACAAAGTAGAGAATCTGCTTCTATAAGAAGACAATGTCAAAATTAGAAATCATGAAAGAAATAAATAAGAAGAGGCCTTAACAACTGACTAATATCATAATAAAATATTAGATCATATTTTACATGTTCTTGGTATGATCAAAAATTTATTGTTAATTAGTAAAGTTGCTAATTTGGATTATTATAAAAATTTTGGTCCAATGTATTATTGAATATTTTACAAATCTCATCCTAACAAGTTATTTTTTATAGGTAGCAATAAACTAAGAAATCATCTCTATAGTTTGAATGATTCTATATTAAGGAAATTGAATCTATTTTAAGATTATTTTTCCATCAATTTTATCATTATATTTCAACTTAAAATAATAAAATTTTGACACAAGCACATGGTTCATCTCAACTGGCATTGATTTTGATGGTCTTTAATCATATAGTCAAATGATATCATAGACATACATATTTATTCCAATAAATATCTATATAATTAAGTAGAAGTAGGTAAACATAAATTAATTTTATAATATCTTCTAGAAAAGCTTCTTAGAAGCTTCATAGATGTTATTTTGTCTTTATGTGTATTTATAATTGATTAGTAGAGTAAAAACTTGGTCAACAAGTTAATCATATGCCACATATGTTGGTAGCTTGTAAAGCAAGCTAATTATGTGGTACATATATTGAAAACTTATCTTACAAGTTAAGATATATGTCTAACAAAGTCAATACATATTGAAGGTCCTATAGAATATTGACATGTAGCTCCTAATTAGATAGTATATATGAAAGCAAGAGTGAAGCCTTCTTCACTCTTGTTAATACCTTTTTAGTCTTTAGATTTAATTCAAGACTTTTTAATCTTCTTATCTTTGGCAATAGCCATTTTAATTTAATACTATATCATCATTGATTGATTTTTTAATCTTCTTAAGGAACACAAGAATATATTAATCTTTTAGTTCTTTGAAATTAATATCCTTGATAATTTGATAAGAATATTAACTTATTTTCTTAATTTTCCTTAAAGTGAGTAGATTATCTCTTTTTGAAGAAATTTTTATTTAATATTAGAAATTCTAGATTATCTTCTTGTAATTTAACTTTTTGAATTTTTTTGAATTGTTTATAAAAATTAAAAAAAAAATTATGGATGCTACTTTTTGCGGAAGTGAAAATAAATTTGCAATAATTACAGATCTTCAGAAGCTTGTCAATACTTCAAGAGTAAAAATCTCATATATATCCAACGTGAATTATGGAGGTACTATTCTTATGCCTATGAAAGAAGTCAAAAATGAAATTCAAAGTCTATGTTAAGAAGTTATACGATTAAGAAAAGTAAATAGATTAAATTCACAAGTAAATTCAAGAAGTCTTATAATACCAAGTATAAGAGAAGCAACGATAAGTATGCTTGAGAAGTTTGATGGAATAAAATCAAAGTTTTAAAGGTTTTTATAAGAAGTAAAGTTCTATCTAAGATTACATCCTTCTCAAAATCTTGATGGATTTATTCAAGTTGGATTCATTAGAGCACTTTTTTCTGATAGCACTATTTCTTAATTTGTACTTTTGATGGAAAAAGATTCACAACTATTCTATGAATTAAATTTATTCCTAGAAGTATTTATGATTATATTTAGAAAAAGTGATCGAGAAAAGATAGTAGAGATTAAGCTCGTATTTCTACAATAAGAATCATGTTCTGCTACTACGTATATTGTTGAATTCCAAAATCTTACTTGTGATGTGGATTAAAATGACAAAGCCTATATTAATCAATTTTGATATAGATTGAAAGATAATATTAAAGATTTATTATTGATAATATTGAGAGTAGATTCATTAGAACAATTTATTGCTCAAGCTATTGTATACAATAATTAATTTTTTAAAAGACATCGAGAACAAAGATTTAATTGGAAAGATATAAGTTAAGTCATGGCGATACCTTCTAAATTTTTGGAGGCATATTTGTCTAGGCCAAAGCCTATGCAAATTAACATGGTACATTTTAAACTGCTTATTAAGTAAAAAAAGATTCAATGTTGTCAAAAAGGTTTATGCTTATAATGAGGAGAAGCTAAGCATACTACTCAACACTGTCCAAAGAGGCAATGTAATTATAAAATAAAGAACATGGTTGCCAAAGAAGATAATGTATCAAATAACAAGTTTTTTCAACAATAATAGAAATTGTGTGGTTCAAATCATGTACAACACCTAATAAAGGTCTTATTCTCTTTTCAAATTTTTTACCTCATTTTATAATAGATATATATTTAGAATCCAAAAATCATAAAGTCTTTGTCTTATTAGATTTAAGGGCTTTAGCTTGTTTTTTAGACAAAGACTTTTTTAAAAAAACAAAAAATATTGTTAGTCAAAAAAACTAAACTTGTACATGTAAAAGACATAAGTGGTCATTTGTTGTTCTTTATAGATATCACTCATGAGATTGTTTCTTTAAATGTAGCAATTAAAGATTATTATAGCAGAATATTTAATGTCATAAGATCTCCTTTTAATTCAATTATTTTAGAATTTTTGTAATTAAAAAAATATAATTCTTAGATAGATTGGATTTTTTGCAATCTTAATTTTTATTCTAGTTTGATGTAAAATTCTATTAGCCAAGTAAAAATACACAAGTCTAGTATATCTAAACTATTACTAGTGAGTGCAAAAACTTTCATGCATGCAACAAAAAAATGATCATCTTTTGCTATATATGCCACTTCTATTTTTGATGGTAGAAAGATGTCAAGTGGTATTTCTAGCTAGTATCAAGTTTTTAAAGATATTTTTGAAAAAAAAAAATCCAAATATTCTTTCAAAATTTTAATTCTATAATTATTCAATTAATTTGTAAGAAAAAATTACAAAATAAGTTGGCTATAGTAAAGAAATACATTGATAAAAACTTGGCTAAGAATTTTATATGCAATTTGAAAACTCTTATAGGAATTCTTATCTTATTTATAAAGAAAAAAGATGGATCTTTGTGGATGTGTGTCGATTATTAAAGATTTAAGAAAATCAATATTAAAAATAGATATC